CACCCAGGCCGTGCAGGGACCCTCCACGGGGGCCCTCCATGCCCTTCCTCCAGGTTAGCTGCGGGGCTGCAGGGCCCGGTCGGCCTGGGGCACGTGTGCCGCCCAGACCGACTGCTTCTCATCCAGCTCCTGTTCGTGCAAAGCGACCGGCGTGCACTGTGGTCCCGTGTGTCCTGTGGACACTGCGGCTCCCACCACGTGCTTGCGCTCTGTCCGGTCTTCGGCCCAGCCTTTCCTTTCTCTCAGGGTTCTCTGCGGGTTGTTCTGTGTTCGGGGACACCCGGGGCTGGCCGAGGTTGAGAAGAAGCCTGGAGTCTTCGTTGGTAGCTTTTGGTGTCCCCTGACTTAGCGATGCCCTTTCATTGATGTAGCTGAATTTAACCCCGTGTGGGCCCCCCAGTGGGGGGTGGGGCCGGGTCCCCCGGAGCAGCAGAGGGCCCGGCTCTGCCCCGCCGGCGCTGCTGGTCCCCGTGGCCGTCCGGCCGTGCTGTCCTGTGCTGCCTGCTTCGGGGGCTGGGGGATAGTGTTTATGCTGATACTTCTAGGAGGATCCCAGCAGTGCCCCGCTTTGACCAAATTGAGAATGTTATATCCCGGGCTACCATCTTTTTGGTATTTGGTATTTTTCCCTACTAAAGGAGGAGGTAATTAACTATCTTAATTGCCTTTATCTAATGGAATAGTTTAATTATTTAATGCTTTTTGTGGTGGAGAAAGCCACAGCTTTCTTCCTTGATGTGGTGGTTGTTGGTAGACGTGTGGTGCCGTCTGAGCTCCTTATGGGGGCTGCAGCCTAAGGGAGCCCCGCTTCCTTGCCCATCCCGAGATGGGACCCGAGGTGTAGAGGAGAGCTGTGTGTAGCGGGGCTGCGGCTGCGGCTGCCCCCTCCGTGTGCCCGAGTCCAGGCTGGGGAGGACGGCTCTCCCGGCTGCATGCTGTGTCGGAAGGTTCCCAGAAGCCCCTTCTGGGTGGGGAGGCGGGACTCCCGGGCCGAGTGTCTCGATTTAGTATCCTTTCCTTCCTGTTGCAAGGAGGCCTCTTTCCCTAGGCAGGCCCTTTGGCAGGGGTGCTGTGGTGGCCGTATCGGGCGGCACTCCCCCTGCTGCCGAGGCCATCTGTCTCTCTGTGTGAGCCCCGCTAACAGCAGCTGCCCACACCCCTCCCCCGCTCTGCCACCTGTGCCGCTTGGATTCTGTGATTGTTGCCCACTGCGTTAAGAACGGGCTCAGGTGAAGGTGACCGTGGTTTCCCCTGAGAGTTGACTGTGAAAAGGCATCAGATAGTTAGTTCAGTGTAGGGCAGACCGCACAGGGAATGGCCGTTCTCCGGCAGCGTTCCCACATGGTGCTGGCCGTCTGGGACAGCGAGAGGGAGCACAGGGCAGCAGGTGTGCCAGCGCCCTGAGCAGACCCCCGTGCGGGCTGGGGGGCCGTCCTTCCTCTTGTGTGCCGGTGTGTTTCCCCCGTAAGCCTCGGGGTGCCGCAGTGTCCATGCTGTCAAGGTGAACAGGTGAGCGGGAGGGCGGGCTAGGCTGTCAGAAGCAGCATCTTCAAGGGTGGGAATTCTGGGCGGGTACCTGGGCAGTGTGATGGAGTAGGGTCCTTGCCGGTGCAGAGAGGTGGAGGGTGGTGCCCCAGGGTGCGTGGTGTGGGCGCCTGCACCCCCTTCTCCGATGGTCTGTGAGGCCTCTGCTCCTGGGCACCCCCAGGCATCGAGGAAGCTTTTTTTCTTGGTAGCTGTGTTTTAGAAAACCGTTTTCTTTGGTAGAATGTAGTTATTGATGGGTCAGTGTTCCAGGAAACCTTAAGCTTGGTGAGCAAGACTCAGGTTTTGAAATCTGTCGCCTCTCCAACATGTGAGACATTTGCACTTGCTGCTTTGTGTCATCATCCGTATGTTTTTCCTTCCCGTTTTAGGGATGAGAAAGCAGAGGCCGGGGAGGGCTTCCATACGTTGTGGGGGCAGCCTCTGCGAGGGGAAGGGTGGCTGTCCTTGCTGAGGGCACCGGCTCTGCGGACAGTGCTTCTGTGCTGTCGCTTGGAACGCACCACTCACCTCTGTCCTCTCTCTCTGGCGTTCATGTTGGCTTCCTGTCACTATGGTATTGGTTTTAGGTAAAATATTAAGTATCACCAAATTTAGTATTTTTAGGGGGAAACAGGACTATTTTACTTCAAGAATATTGGATTCTGCTATACATTTAATTCACTTAAATGTGAAAATGAGGGTGAGTGTTTGGTGATCTGCTTGTGCAAGGTCTCTGGGATATGGAGTGTTCCTCCTCATTGTGAGTATGGTCATGGTCCCTGAGGGGCAGGGCGCCTGCTGGGGAGAGGAGTCACACCTTCCGTGTCCCCCTGGTAGCATGGCACGGCACCACATGGAGAGTGTTAACGTTCTGGGTCAGGGTTCCTCAGAGATGCTAATTTAATTGGCCTGGGATTTGGCTGAGTATGTTTTCTAAATCCCTGGAGAACGGCCTCTCTTGAGAACCTCTGCTTCCACTGCAACCTGAGGAAAAATGGACCCTGGTGTTGGCTTCCTTCCTCCCGCTCCTGACCCCGGCCAGGCGCGGCTGCTGCTCTTTGAGAGACATGGGTAGGCCCCGAGGTGGGGCTGGTGTCCTTATGCACTCAGTGCCTCTGGACGACTGAGTGGGGAGGTGGCCTGGCCCTTTCCTGCATGTGGGCTGACTTGTGCTGAGAGACTTCCACAGAAGCTTTAATGAGACTTTGCTCTTGTTCCCATAAGTACAAACTCTCCTCTGTAAGTTTTTTTTGTTATTGAATAGTTTCTTAACTCAGGAAATAGTCTTTTTTTAGAGATGGACTTTAGTCAGAACATTTCATGGATTCAGAATGTGTGGTGTTCACAGCGGCAAGCGTTTGTCTCCTGTCATTGTGTAGTTTCCTGTGAAGAAATGCAGCACATCTGTGAATCCACTTAAGTTGTGATGTCACATGGAAGCCCATTGGTGGGTAAGTTCAGCCAACCAGGCGCTTCCTGGTATCCAAATAAGAAAGATAGATAGTTCTGGAATAACAGGAAACTTCAGCTTTCAACATCCTGTTTTTCTGGGTTTTGTGACTCGCTGCCTTACCACAATGAAGGTTAGTAGACCTTTTTATGTTGAATTCTTCTCATAGAGTATTACATATTTAATTTTCCTTTCTCTAAGGAAAATTAGAGACCTGCAGATTTGCTACTCCTTCATTTTTACAAAGGAACGTTGATGTTCAACACATAAGCTTATTAGGCCTGTTGAGGTTGATGCTTTTGATTTTCTTAAAAAAAAAAAAAAGGCAACTAGCATATTAAAAAAAAGTAGGTAGATGTGTCTGCCTAGATATTTCTCATTTGATTTGGAATTTCCGAAATCTCACAAATGAATTCTATTTGGTGTTGTATAAGCGGATTCTAAAGACCTCTGTTGTAAGGGGTGCTTTTCACAGGAAGGGTCTGGTGTGAAATCGATTTATTTTGTACGTCAGCTGAGGGAGAAATGGTGCCAGTGACCGTCCAGGATGCTTAGATGCGGTCACACGTGGGCGTTAGGCTCTGTTCACTTTCTTTCAGCTTTTAGAAAAGCGAGCTGTGTGTTTGGCTCCTCCCTTGATGCCATGATTTGGTGGCCTCCTTTCTCGAAGTTCTTGGGTTTTTGTTTGTTTTTGTTTTGTTTCTTTGCTTATGTTTCAGTAAGCCTACCTCATGATTTTTACTCCTTTCAGAAATTAAAGGCAGAAGACCATTAACTGAGGAATTTTGAGGAAGGCAGCAATTAGATTTGGAAAGGCTTCTCTGAGCCACTCTTTGTGTGAACGTCCCTCATAGCGACATTTAGTACCACAGGGTGGATGGGTGGATTGGCTGGTACGCTTCTCCATTCAGCAGACATCGGAGTTTTTACCGTGTGCCGGCTGTCTTGCTAGATGTTGGGTGTTGTAAACTCTGGTTTTGTAGGTTTTCCACCGTAGGGCGGCTACACACGTGGGACATGAAGTTGTCCTTGAGGTGAGTGCCCTGGGAGAGCCGGCTCAGGGCGCCTGACCTAGTCTGGTGTGGAAGTGTGGCCAGGAGCACTGTGGGGAGTTAGGGGCCGGGGGGGCCGGGAGGCAGGAAGGAGAGGGGTTCCTGGCAGGATGTGTGAGGTGGAGGAGAGGAGGGTGGAGGGAAGAGGTGGCCAGGCCCTCCTCCTGGTCCTCCTTCCTGGAATGGCTGGTGACGTCTGGTCACTTTGGCCCTAGTGCGAGGACTTAAGGCTGTTAACACGGTTTACATTTGGGTCTCTAAATACATCTTAGTTATTGACATCCTGAAAGAAACATTTTCATGTTTCTGGCACAGTGGTAGGTGGTTTGAGTATTACAGTCATGTGTGGCGGTTGCCTGACCATCAGAGGTTGTGTGCAGCGTCTGGGAGTGCGATCTGTGTGTGCCTGTGCGCACACTTGCAGACCAGCTGTACAGTATGTGGGCACGCAGGTGTGCTCTTCCGGCTTCTGTGTGCGCGCCTGCGTGCTGGGAGCGGCTCTGCCGTGTGCCGGGTCTGTTTGGAGGAGATGCGGACTAGACCGTCGCGGTCAGGCCTCTGCAGTGCCTGGAGAGCGGAGGTGTCCCTGGAGCTACCTGTCTGTCCCCCTTCCAGAATCCACTTCTGTCTTCCCTCCCTCTTGCTGTCCGCCTGTTTCTCTCGCTGTGGTTGGCTGTGGAGTGGACTTGGGGCTGGGACGGGATCTAGAAGCCAGCCCAGTAGCTGATGGGGCCTCTACCCCGTGTTGCCGAGGGGGTCGGGCCAGGTGGGGAGCTGGCCGTGAGGACGCCGGTCTCCTGCCCCGCGTCAGAGCGTGCCTGCCCCGGGAGCTCCGGCTGGCCCCTGCCCCCTGTAGGCCGGGCTGCGTCTTGAGGACGCACTCAGCTGTGGTCCTCCCACTGCCGCGAGAACTTGTTTGTCCTGCAGCCGACCTAGAAGACCCTACTAACTTGTTTAATTTTTCCTTTCAGACGTTTGATGCAAATGATTTGTATCAGGGGCAGAATTTTAACAAGGTCCTCAGTTCCTTAGTGACTCTAAACAAAGTAACAGCAGGTAAGAACTTTTTATTGAACTTGAGGGGGTGGGAAGACCAAGGGGCAAAAACACGTGCTTTTCTTTTTGGTTTGCAAGGCAGAAATGCGCATTCTAGAATTAAAAAAAAATCTATCATGTTACATTTTTGGTTTAATAATTTTTGCTGTGATTTTTTTTTCTTATTAGATCAGTCTTGGTCTTAGGGCTTCTGGTGGAGAGCAGGTGTTTTCCTCTCTGCGGGCAGAGAGCTTGCTGCCTGCAGCCTTCGCAGAGGAGCAAGGCGTTTCGTGTGCCCAGACTCCTGGGCTGTCTGGGAGCTAGAAGCTCTGTTTTAAGTGTCTTCTGATGAAAGCTCACATCTAGGGAGCAGATGCGGTGACAGTATGTCAGGTGTGACCATGACGAGGAAGCAGCCAGTGAGATGGCCCTAAAGTAAACCCCTGCCTGGGCCAGGCTTTCTGCGGGCTGTGAGGGGGCCTGGGGTGTGGGTCCTGCCGTGTTGTGAGCCTGGGCCCGCCCTCAGTGCAGGAGTGAGTGGAGCTGAGGACACCGTGTGCTGCTCTTCCGGGCTCCCAGGTACAGGGGGGCCAGGATAGCTTCTGTGCAGGTTTCTTGGAGGGGGGCCCTGCCTGCCCCGAGCACAGAGAAGTTCTGTCTTCCGAGAGCTGCGTGGGTCTAAAAGGACTTAGTGGCTCTTTTGTCTTAAAGTCATTTTAATTTTTCCATTTACTTCTACGCATTTTTAGTTTCAGGCTTATGGGAGAAAGTTAGACCTTGAGGTCTTTTGATAAGAACCCTCAAGTGTGTTTTGTGAGGGGCTCTTGTCTGGGTCTTCCTGGCCCTTCAGGTGGGGGTGGGTGGGGCGGGACAGGGTCAGAGCACCGTGGGCTGTAGTCCCAGCTCAGCGGTGCTCGGGGCTCAGGGACGCGGGTGCCCCCTCCTAGAACGTGCGTGCTGGGATGGCTGGCTGGGTGCCGCCGCCCCTGCCTGCACGGGGTTGGCGGGGGCACGGGAGGCACTTCCCGGAGCACCTGTCCCTGCCCCCCAACCCCCCCCATCCCCGGGCAGGGCTTTTGATGTGGCTGCGTTTTCCCAGCCTGTCTGTGTGGTTGGAAGTTGAAAACCTCCTAGGGCTGTGAGATGGAGTATCTGGGGAATTCGCTCAGTTGATACGATAGGACCTTCTGTGAGTAAGTGTGGGAATGTCGGTGAGGATCTAAATCCAGGAGGAGGGAGAGAGACCAGGCCAGAGAAGGGAAGGGGATACAAAGATGGGCGTAGTTAGAATCTCCTACCACTTGATGTACTGCAAACAGAAGTTGTGGCACTTTGTAAAGGTTGTTAGGCAGCGATGCTGCCTTCTCTGGTCCCACGTTGTAAAAGAGCTGGCGTGACTGCGAACACGCAGGCTAGAAGATTATGTAATGGTGGGGGATACAGTGATGCAAACACGTGGAACAGGTCCCTGGAATTGAAGGGAAGAAACCGACGCTGAGCGGCACGGTGTGTCTCCTTGCCACGTGGGGCCTGTCTGCCAGCGGCCCGTAGTAACCATCTGTGTCTCCGGGCCCCACGGGAGCGTGTGAGGGCTGACGGACGTCTCCGTGGCAGACGGGACAAGAATGGCAGGTAGAGATGACACGCACACATGGTGCTTTACTGCGACCCCGCTGCTTCGGGGCACCCTTCTCCGGCAGCTGTTAGGGGGCAGGAGGGCCGCTCGGCCTTTGCCCCTGTGTGCCGCTCTTGCTGTACTTGAGGACCAGGTGCAAGTTGGGGAGGCGCTGGGGCCGCCTGTGATCCGCGCCCTCGGGCATGTGCTCCTCGTCACAGAACGTGGCCTCGGTCCATCGCTCCCAGGCACGTTACCGTCGCTTCTCCCTCCTCCTCATGCAGCAGTGGTGCTCCTTACTCCCGGAGTCAGATGTCCTTTCCGGAAACCTGTTTGGAAGTTAGGAAATCAGCGGTGCTCTTCAGCGTGGACGTGGTTTCTCAGCTGGAAAGAGTTTGTGCTCTTGTTTGGGCTAGAGTTTAAATTTCGTTCCTGAGGTCCGTGTGCCGGAAATGACCCTGTCTTTTTAGACCCCCTTTTAGATTCACTTTTAAATGAGTGAGAAGAGTCTGTTACTATTTTCCCTTCATGTCTGCCACTAGAAGACCCTTGTGTTCTCCAGATGTGTTGATAAATAACTTGTTTTTTAACTGGACAGAAGAAGGACAGATGACGGGAAGTAAGAGATGTCCTAAGACTCCTTCATTGCGCTAAATGTTCCCTTGAAAGGTGGAGTCGGGCGACAGCGGGCGGGGGTGAGGGGACAGCGCGCAGCCACTGGCGGCGGGAATCTCTGTGAAATGCCCTTGAGGAGCTGGTTTTGTGCTTGAGTCCTAAGGCCTATCCCCACCTGTGGTGGAAAACGCTGGCAATTCCCCACAGCCTGAAGCAGGACCTGAGAGTTACAGGGGCCTTTGCAGGTGCTTGGGTGGGGATTCAAGACTGGGCTGTTACGGCTCTTGTGGCACTGCGTTTCCAGACACCAGCGTCCGTGGAGCCGGGCGGGGAGCCCAGGGAGGCAACCGCTCTCCACGCGCACGGCCTGCTCAGCTCTCGGAGAACTAGACCCCCCAGCCTGCGTGCCTCAACAGCAGGTGGAAATCCGGGCCTTCCTGTGGGAACTTCAGACCTGCAGTTAACAGAAATTTCTATAAGACCCTACGTAAGCCAGCCCCAACAAATCTGCCAGAAAAATGGGAACTGGAGATCATGTTTAAGGATATTTTCACAGGTGGCTCCCCACATATATAGTGCTTTAGGAAATTGCTAGGTGCGCGGATCTTGGTCTCGTGATTTCCCTGGAAAACTTCTTCGTGGCCTCGTTTGTCTTTTTAGTCAACTCACTTCTAAGAAGTGGGTTGCTAACATTTACTTGTTGGTTGGCCTAAGTCTCTGCTCCTGAAAAGATTCTGGGAGAGCACTAAGCCCCTTAGGATCTGTTCCATCCAGCCACCTTGAAGGAAGGTGTGGCCGCCTGCCTGCTGAAGGGGTCCTCCGCTGCGAGGCCTCCAGCCAGAGTGCTCCGCAGTGAGGCTTCCAGCTAAAGGCTGTCAGGGGATTTTTCTCTTGGTTTAAAGGAAGAGTCTTTTGTTGTAAAATGATTCCTGCTGCCTGTGGCCCGATTTGAAGCTCCTTCCTGGGGGAGTGGGTGGGCAGGGACGGTGTGCCGGGGCCGAGTCCTGGCCGCTGCTCTGACTTCGAGAGGCTTGTTTCTTCCACGGGAAGGGAGGGCATTGAAAACAGCCACAAAACCTTGAAGAGCTGTGAAGAATCTATGAGGGAGGGGCGGCTGAGTCGTTCTCTTGAGTCCTGTTCTGGAGCGTTCCATTCTGGAGCGCGTGCACGGCGTCTGCGTGGTGGGCGGGCCGCCCTCCTGCGTAAATGGGCCGCTCTGTTGCCTTGGCCGGACGTCCCCCGGGGGCTGCCCCAGTTTAGAGTCCGCTGTGCTGCCAGAGTGCGTGGTTTGCAGCGTCTCAGCTCGTTCTTCTCTGTGCACGACCTTTGCAGACATCGGCCTGGGAAGTGACTCCGTGTGTGCCCGGCCCTCATCTCATCGGATAAAGTCTTTTGACTCCCTGGGAGCCCAGCCTTCGCACAGTCGGACTTCAAAACTGTTCCAGGGCCAGTATCGCAGTTTGGTAAGTGTGAGGGAGTTGGTTTTCGGAGGCTGCGGGGGGAAGGAGCGTGTGCAGGCGTGTCCAGAAAGGTACTTGTGCCCCTGGACAGGGTGCTGCACAGGCAGAGGCTGCTTCGGTTCTGTTCCCACTGTTCCTTGATTGGGGTGTGGCATCTGCTCGTCACCCGGTTTTCCGGATGTTTACACTTGACTGCTTTGGAGAGATTTGTATATTTTGGGGGTTATATTTAAGATTCCTAAATCTGTTAATCTAGAGGGATTTAACACTTTAAAGCATTTCCCTGGTCCTGTGTAATACGGTATTTTTCTGCTGTGTGCACACGTACAGATGTATGGGAATAACATTTGTGCGTGTGAAAGTACTTAGAAGTGGGAAGAAGAAAGGGCTAACGGCTGAAGAATCGAAAGGTGGTCTCTCTCCTACCAGAGGTGTGGCTTAGGCTGCCTGCCGGAGTCAGGATGTGATTGGTAAAGGAGGGGCTCCCTGGTCGTGGCTGCTGGTGAAGGGGGTGAGGACTGGGGGCGCATGGCTGTGCTGGGAAGTGAGGAAAAGTCCAGGTGCAGGATGTTAGGATCCGGGCTGTGAGCAGAGCACTCGGGGTGCAGCCGTGAGAGGCTGGAGAGAGATGTGGCACAGTGTGGACTGGGGGCCGAGGGCCGATGCTGGGAGGCCGCCGCGGGTGTCGCTCTGGAGCCGCCCCGAGCCCTCCTGTGAGCTAACGGGTGATGGCACTTTGTTCGATTAGCTAGTTGCGTGACTTCGCTTTCATGTGATGTTTTAGTAAACTTGTGTTAAAGCCCAGCGGTCCTGCTGCATGAGTCGAAAGAGAACCCGACTCTTGAGTGTTTGGGGATCACCGCTGTCTTACCTGCTCCCACACAGGGGTTTTGTTAAGTAAGCTCATGGCTGGCTTAAATACATTGGTTAGAGTTGCATTTTGCGGAGGGAATTTGAGTTTCATTCAAGGAGGGTTAAAAAGGAAGCTACAGAGGGAATGAAAGTTTTCCATGTTCCTGAACTTTTTGCACACAAGCGAATTCCCTGCTGTTTATCTCTTTTTCCTTAGAGAAGCCCCATTGCCGTTTCTGACCTGGTGTACGGTGCACTTGGGCCACAGTTGTGTCTGCCCTGTTTCAGGTGCTGTTCCTGA